ATATATATATATATATAACACAAAGGCTAATATATTAAAGACGAAAAGATACAGATAGGTTATATGTGTGGGCCTAAAAGAAGGCATTCAACCACCACGATACAACTCACATAATCCAAAAGAAAGAAAAGAAAAGATACATATATGATCAAAAAACCAAAACCACAAACGCGAGCAACGAGCTGAACGTTCCAATTTAGTCATTCTCATGCGTTTTTTGGCCACATGATGAGAATCCGCATCATGTGTCTAAAATTTCAGAGCCCCTGCGCCACGGTGGGATTGAACACTGACCTGAGGGGACTTATAATGACCCCGCCACCAACAGGGCAAGGCTTGCGGCACACACACACACACTTATGCCCGACAAAAATGAAAAAGCTCTAGATCTGGATATTTTTCGGGTGAAGAATTTGCTCTCGCCGAAAAAAAGGAGGCAATTAGTATATCTTCGATAAATTTTCATCATCTCGCACGAATCTCAAGGAATGACAGATCTTGAGACGGCTTTTTTAGCAAGAAATATTCAAACATTGATAAAAACTCATCCAGAACTCCGATTTTAGCAAACTTACAGTCAAATTGACCAGCTTGACAAGAAAAACCCAATGTTACCAAAATTAGTCGAATCCGAGACAAATCAATCTCAAATCATGTCATTAAACCACTCTTGAAAGTTTTTCAGACATATTTAGAAGGTCAAACAAATGTCGAATCTTGCAAACTTATTATTGGATCGAGTGTCTCGATAAGACGAATCCAACAAGCCTAAGATTGCTCAAACAAATGTCCAACATACACGTCTGATCGAAGGAAATTCTCTAGACCGTCCGATCAAATTGGTTCATATTTTTGCATTAATTTTACCCAGAACACTAGGGGAGCTTGAGGCTTGAGAGTGAACTTAAAGTTTTGAGAGGAATTGAAGTCCAACGTCATCCTTGTCATCGTTGACCACCGTCGACCTCCGTCGACCACTCCCGACCGTCGTCGATCACCCCAGACCGCTGTCGACCACCTCCGACCACCGTCGACCAACGCCTACCGTCATCAACACTAGCCGACTGTCTTAGACTACTACCAACTGCCGCTGATCGTCGTTGACAACTACTACCACCTCTAATCTTCGTTGACCACTGCCGACCGATATTGACAACCACTGATTGCACTCGAGCACTACTGTGGCCGTCAACCACCACCAATCGTCGTCGACACCACCGTCCGAACGCTCGATGTTGTAACTTGGAAAAACCTAGTAATAATTTTCTATCTATGGGACAAGAGATCTCTGTAATCATCAACCTATAATGAATTTTTATAATTGGGTCACATCCCGTGATTTTTTTTCTTTACGGGTTTTTCACGTAAAAACTTATGGTGTCGTTACTGGTTGTTTTCTTTTACTAGAGTGTGTGTTGAATGCTCGTGCAACGCTAAGACGATAATCCATTATTCTACATCAATTACCTCATGCTTTTGTTTGCTAAGAAAGAAAGAACTAGGCATGTTAAGTTTTTGTTTCACACCAATGACCAAACAATACTTGGACAATGCTCTGTTGAAGAAATAGGCTATCCTGCGTGACACCGGCTTCTACAGGAATTAGTAGCGGTAGAGGCTATTGTTGATTTTTCCGTGGATCTAATTTTTGGAAGATTGTGAATTATGACCGTTGTTGCTAAGGTTTTCTTAGCTTTGTTCTATCTGGATCAGTTCAGTTGCAATAAAACCTTTCAGGAACAAGGAATGTTGAACTTTTGTTTCACTCCAAAAGAAATTTGGATGATGCTTGATGGAAAAATTAGGCCGCTTCTTGTGTGACAACATGTGTAAAATATGCAGCGAGTTGTTTGGAAACAAAGCGAAGACTCCCAAAGTGATAGGGCACTCAAACTGCCAAAATAAATAAATAAACATCTTCAAAAGGTAGTTGCGAGAGAGGCTGTCGTGATACTTGTGATTATGTGGAGATTGCAAATTTATGATCTAGCTTGTTAATAGGGAAGTTCTTCCAGCTTTATGAACAGTAGGACGAGCCCATGTCTGCATAAAAAATCAAGAAAGAAAGAGAAACAAAATTAAGTTGGATACTTCAGTGCAAAGATTTAAGATTGCCGATTATCTATATTTGAGTTTTTGTTTTGCTGTGGAACTCGTGGGGTGATTGGATCTTATTCTAATTTTCAAGATGAAATTTTGTACGAGTTATTTTTTGGGATATTTACAAGCATACCACCCAAGCTCTATGTATTTAGATATTTAGCATCTAAAATTTGCTTCTTACATTTATAGCACCCAAAATTTTCATATCACATTAAAAATACCACCATTTTTAACTTTGGAAATGTGAAATACACATTTGTATGCATTAGGTAAGGCGGCATATATATAAAAATTAAAGTTTAGGTCTTAGATATTTAAATACATCAGAATTGACTGGTATTTATGTAAATCCTTGTTTTTTTTATAGCATTATTGGTAGGCTCACATAGCAGAAACATGTGACAAATTAAAGCTAAGGTTCTAAGGCCAAAGCCTTTGCTCCTTCAAAATATCTATCATTTGGTAATCTTTTGTTTAATAATACAAATTTATCTCATATATTTTATTTTTGATAATGTGGACTCTAGCCTAGCTGCAATTCTTTTAAGCAATAGGCCATATACTTAAAATCATGCGAACATCAAGAGAAGCAATTTGTGCTGCAACTACAAGATCACTACCAGAGAACTATGCCCAAAAACCAAGGAGCATGCGGCTTTATCAATGCTCTTTGATTTGATTGAGTTTAAGGTCTTGTTTGGTTCTGGTTTTGTTTTTCTAAAATTTGTTTTAAAGCTGTTTCATAAAAAGCAGTGTTTTAAAGTCGTATAGAAATCACGATCTAAAATAACTACAGAAATATATTTTGTGAGAAGCGCTTTAAACCGGATCAGTTTTATCAAATTTTTGATTGGTTTGCTCTTTTGGATTTTGAACTTTGTGGTTGCAATTGGTTTGATCAATATGAAAACCGATCCGTCCTAACTCCTAACCGACTGAATGCTCACTCATAGCTCCACGTCACTCCTCCCTTTCTCATTGACGGCAAAGCTGTTGACTGCACTTTAATTCCAACCATTATAATCCACTATAAGCAGTAGGGATATTTGTCTTGTTTTCTGTCTATATCATCTGACATTATTTGAATTTGTAACTTATTGCTTCTGTAAAATATTGCAGCTCAGCGATTATAGCTCCTTTGAGGGTGTTCTCTTTTGCAAACCTCATTATGATCAGCTTTTTAAGATGACTGGAAGCTTGGATAAGAGTTTTGAAGGTAGACGCCAGCAATTTTGATATTTTGTCACACTGAAAGTTAAGGTTAAGTATTTATCTTTATTTTATTTTTTATTTTTTATTTCCAGGTGCTCCAAGGTTTGCTAAGGCAGAAAGACATACTGATCGTGAGGTATCCAGACATTTAATTAGCATACATTAAAAATTTCATGGTAGTAAACTTCATCTTTCTCTGTACTTCAATTTTTATAGGAAATAATTTTACGATTTTTTCATGCAGGTTCAAACAAATAGCAGAATTTCAAGTATTTTTCTTGGGACGCAGGATAAGTGTGTAGTGTGCAAGAAAACTGTGTATCCTATTGAGAAGGTATGTTAAATTGGCTTTCATACAGTAGGGGAGGGTACAAGTAGTGAGAACACGTCATGTTTACAAAAAAAATTTCTTCTGTTTTTAGATTACTTCCTACTTATGGTTTGATTTTTGCCATCTTTGTCAAGTTCTCAACAATAGTTGTGTTTCAACTCTATGCCTTTTAGCCATTTTCATAGTGAAGATTGTGTAAAATTGTCATTCTTATTTTGGTCATTTTTTAAATCTTCTTCCAAAACCCTTGTAATGAATCCAAATTGAGAATGTGGATTCATAACCTTTATTGGGGTTTTCTTTCAGATTTTACATTGGTAGCCCAGTGTTATCAAAGCGCAATACGATGCACAAGGATTAATTTTTGTTTCAAAGTGCAAAACGCAGAGAGAAGCAATGTTTTAATTAACCAAAGCGCTAATAGTTTATTATTATGAAAAGTCATAAATTTGAATCTTATCTGTTAGGAAGCTTGTATGTTGGGAAACTTGATAGAAGATAACCTACTTAGAAGAGATTTAATTATAGGATCTTTTCTATATTATAATTATTCCTAATCTAGAGAGTTGGGAGGGTTTATAAATATGTAATAGATGTTTTCAATTGTGAATAAGAAGAAATGAAGTTTTTTCCGATCACAGTTATATAAAACTGTTAATGTATAAATTCATTCATTAACAATTTTAAAATATAAAATATGACTTAATAGTTAATATAAGTGAAAAAAAATGTGGTGTAATTCCTAACTTGAAGACAAACATTGAGGGTGAACTCATAAATTAAAACTTCGAACAATTTGTACCAATTCGTTGCAATAATTAAAAATTTAAATTTGCAAAAAAATGTAAAATAACTTTAGTGTTTCGAAATGCGCTTCAATGTAGTGAATTAATCGTCACATGATTCACTTTGTTTTGCTCTTGAAGCGCGTTTTTAAAAACAATGGGATAAGCTTTCTTATTGCTAGGTGGTTGCGAAGCGATTTTTCTCCTAAGGTCTCTTTAGAGCAATCCTTTATATAACTATGGAATTCTGAGTTTTCTATTTTAGTTTTATTCCCTTCTTATTATGTCATATTTATTTTTTTCTTGTGTTATGTTTTTTTTAGTAAGTTGTAATTAATCACGCCCTAGTTATCTTATTATACAAGAAGAAGAATTGTAATTTTATTATTCAAAGATAAGAAAATACAATTTTCTCATCTTTCTTAATGGTATCAGAGCCATGTTTGAAATGCTAACCTTTTTTCGTCCTTGCGCCTCTCATTCATTATAGCTAATCTTCATTGAATCGTCTCCTTGCGGATAATGTACGGTGCAGGCCCTCTGGAACACCTCCTACAATCATCTATTTGTCTGTGGAGGCCTTTCCTTCCCTCTGAATCAATTTTCTCTCTGTTGAACTTTCTCTTTCCCATATGTAGAGGTTTTTGCATAACCGTTAGGACAAATTTCTCTTTATAGTGCAAATTCCATATGCGCAATTGTTCGGTGTGTTCTCCCCAAGCTGCATCCTGTAGGTTCTTCTCAACCGCTAACGTCTTCTCTACCATAAGGATATCAACCGCACCCTGCTATCTTCCTGCCTTCTCAGCAGATCCTTACCAAGCAAGTAAGCAGAGCAACTGCAGGCGTTCCTCTTCTCTTGCGGCGCAATCATCTAGGAATTCTTTCATCTAGGAATTATTTCCAACTTTGAACGTGCATAGGACTTATGACAAAGTACGACATGAAGATTTCTAGCTCTGCACTTGAGGTTAGTTCAGAATAAGAACTAATAATTATACCCAAACAATATGGAACTCTCTCACTTTATCACAAACCATAAACTCAATGGTCATAACTTCTTTCAATAGTCTCAATCTGACATTTATGGAAAAGAATCAGAGGAACATCTCATGAGAGAAGGCACAGTTCCCGAGTTCACTCATCCTAAATATCGCTTATGGAAGATCCAGTATTATACGGTGTAGGATTTGGGGAAGTGTGGATTCATCTAGCACTGAATGCTTTGTCTTGTACACACACACAGTTCCTTTCCTGAGTCAAAAACAAAGAAGAATCGTCCTTTGTGTGAAAATTGCAAAAAACTTGGTCACAAAAAGGACAAGCATTGGAAACTACTTAGAAAACTGCAATTTTGTAACTGGGGCAAGGGAGGAAAGGCCAAGACCGTAATGTCCATTCTACTACCTCTTTTGAAGGGTCGTTCGACCCTAGTCCCTTCACTAAGAAATAATTGGTGGCGTTAAAGTAACTTCTTTCAAGCACAACTGAGCGGCCTACCAGTTTGACAATACACCGAGATATCATGTCCTTCTCTGATCTCGCTAACAATGAAAGATTGCGATCTTAGGTAATATATTTAGATGCTTATGATCACATGATTGGAGAAATTTATGCTCTCACCAACTACCAAGGGTTCACCAATTTCAAATTTGTTAGATTTCTCGATAAATCTCTCTCCAGGATTGTTGGGAAAGGAGAAGCAAAAGTCTCTAGAAATATTCAACTTTCTTTTGTGTTTTATTTTCTTGAATTAGATTGCAACTTACTTTTAATTAGCAAGTTTGCTCATGATTTGAAGTGTTATTAAATTTTATTCTAATTCTTGTGAATTTAGTTAGTAAATTTGGGGAAGTTGATTGATAGTCTTGCTCAAAGAAAGTTATTCACTTAACACACAAATGCCTCCATCATTTTCTTCCCATGTTCCGTTTGTTGTGTTTTCTATTGAAAGTCAAGTTTTTTATGACATTTTCGTCTGGGTCATCTCATATTTTTATTAATAAAAAGCCAAAGTTTTATAAGTGTAAAATCTATCAATTGGCTAAACATACTCGTCATGTTTACCCTTTATCTCAGTACAAACCTGTATAATCTTTCTCTGTCATTCACAGTGATATTTGAGTGATTAAAATTGAAAACTATCACAGTGATATTTAGCGTCCTCTGGAAGCGATTCATTGTATAGCCTAAATACTGTGAAAAGTATGCAAGAGCAGCTACACCGGCGCCCAGGTGTAATGTCAAATAAGCAAGGGTTTCTATATTACCAACGGATGTGGGTAAAGAAGTTAGTTCATAAAACTAATGAAATTAATATTATGATAGGAACTTTGAATATATGTACTCTCAATGGTAAATTAATGAAATTAGTTGATATTATGATTCATAGAAAGATTAATATCTTATGTATTCAAGAAATTAAATGGGTTGGAGAAAAAACTAAGGAGATTGATAACTTAGGTTTTAAACTTTGGTATTCTGGTAAGGGTCGTACTAGAAATGGTGTAGGTGTAATTATAGATAAGAGTTTGAAAGATAATGTTGTAAAAATTAATAGAGTTTGAGATAGAATTATATCCCTTAAGATTATCATTGATACAAAGATTTTTAATATTATAAGTGATATTATGCTCCTCATAGGTTTAGATATAGGGTCTAAAGATAAATTTTGGAATGACTTAGAAGACTTGATACAAATGATACCTCTTGAAGAAAGAATTTTTATTGGAGGAGATTTAAATGGACATGTCGGTAAAGTGGTAAAAGATTTTAGAAATATTCATGGTGGCTACGGTTTTAGAGTGACTAATGAAGAAGATAGAGTTATTTTAGATTTTGCTTTAACATATGATTCTGTTATTATTAATATTTTATTCAAGAAAAAAGATGAGCATCTTATTACTTATAAGAATGGATCTAATAAAACACAAATTGATTATTTTTTTATGAGAAGAAGAGATCGTTGAGATTGTAAAAATTGTAAGGTCATTCCAAGTAAGGATTTAAGTACCCAATATCGTTTATTAGTTCTAGATTTTAAGATGAAGAGTTGTAAAATAAATAATATTATGACTCATTATCGTAGAATTAGATTGGGGAATCTAAAAGTCATAATAAAAATTATTTTTATGAGTAAAATTCAAAATTTTAAAATTTGGGATGTTCATGATGAAACAAATGCTATGTGGGATAAAGTAACAAACACTATTAAACAAATAATAAAAGATGTAATTGGAGAATCAAAAGAAAAAATTTCTTTAAATAAAAATAGTTTATGGTGGAATAATATTGTGCAAGAAAAGATAACATATAAGAAGTTATGTTATAAAAATTGGTTGAAATGAAAAACTTAGAGAACAAAAGCTTAGAGAACTAGGAAAAATACCAAACGGCCCGTAGTAATCTAAAAGAACAATATGCGACGCTAAAAATTCTGTTTTTAATTATCTTTATTATAGATTAGATACTAAGGAGGGTAAAAATTATATGTATAAACTAGCGAAACAGAGAGAAAAGAAAAGTAACGATTTAACTCAAGTAAAGTGTATTAGAGATGAAAATCAAAAAATGCATTTCTTAGAAAAAGATATTCAACGTAGGTGGGTAAGTTATTTTGATACTTTTTAATGAAGTTTCTGAAAGTACGATCGACCTTAGTGATCTTAATATCGTTAATAATAATAAAACGTTTCATTTTTACCATCGCATTAGTAAAAAAGAAGTTGATGAGAAAAACTTTAAAGAAAACCAATGGTTAAAAGTCTGTAGGATCTGATGATATCCCAATTGAAGTATGGAAATGCTTATGAGATTTGGGAGTTTCTTAGCTTACTAAACTCTTTAATGTTATTCTAAAAACTAAAAAGATGTCTGATGAGTGGAGGAAAAGTATTTTGATCCAATTTTTAAGAATAAAGGGGATGCACAAGAGTGTGCAAATTATAGAGGAATTAAGTTGATGTGCCATACTTTAAAATTATGGGAGAAGGTAATTTAACATAAATTAAGATTTATTACAAAGATTTCTCATAATTAATTTGGATTTATGTCGGGCAGGTCTACCATGAAAGTTATACATTTATTGGAGAAGTTCATAGATAATAAGGAGGATCGACTTTTGATTTTAATTGGTTTAGAAAAAGCTTACGATAAGGTTCCAAGAGATATCCTTTGGAGAGTTCTTGAGAAGAAAGTGTTGGTATGACTTATATTCAA